CCTGCTGAAGGCCATGAAAATCCCACTGATCCCATGGATGTATGCACATCACCCATACATTTTGTGCGTACTGCTGTGGATGTTGCTGTATTTGGACTTATTCTGGTATTTGACTTCTGGCCTATATTGTCATTTCCACTATGAGAAGCCTAAAAAGGTGCCTGTCTTCTGAGCTTGTCTATTTCTTGATAATTTTGTATGTTGTAGCACACATATTTAAAATTAAAAAAAAAAAAAAAAAAAAAAGCCTGCAGGAGCTCCAAACACAAACGAATACAAGATTTCAGCCCATGCAACGCACACAGTTTCTGATTACCGGAGTGGCAGGGCGGGAAGCACCCCGTGGGCACCCACTGACACTGCTGACGCCCCATCTCCGAGGGGGGACTTGGATCTGCTGACTGCTTCGTGCATTTTCTTTCAACTTAGGCACCTGCCTGCTGATTTCACAGCGTCTGCCCATGAATCCTGATTTGCAGATACATCTTCCTGACATGTCACATTGCAGTGACATGGATCCTAAAGCACTGCAGCCACAGGGTATACAAAACAGCTTTTCTGGGGCCCAGAAGTAGCTGGGCTTTAAGAATGAAAAGTAAACACTATTAGAAGGTGAAGATAATGAAACCACAGGAAATAAAAGAGTACAGGAACAAAGATAGTAGTAAACACAGTATTAAACAAAAATTAATCCCAACCAACACCAATATTGTATCAACAAGCTTGACATATTTTCTGTGTATGTCATGCAATCTGTGCAAATTCCGTTGATACTAACAATACTTCTTTGAACAGACTCTTTAAATACTGTTGAAAACAGAGTGCGAGCAAACCTCTTTAGAAATTACACAGTTTACGCAAGGTGAAAATGATCTTTGTGATTTCTGCAGAATTCTTTATGCACTTTAAATCACACACATGTGGAGGTGTTCTGAGGACACAGGTCTAACCCACAAGTCCTCACGCTGAGCTAGAGAAACATGCAGCCAGCTATAACATATTCCTTAGCAGCCTGAAGAAAACTGCAAAAGTTCATGAAACGCTGTTTTTTGCAGTGATTTATGAGACAGCAAAACAACGTCAAGGCAAAAGACACTTTCACCAAAAAAGAATACATTATTTGGACAATACAAGAAGAACACCTAAGAAAAAAACCATAAAAGTAGAACATTCACAGCAGAAGTAAACTAGCATCCTGCTTTTTTTGAAAATCAGATGTTATCAAATATTTTGCAGCTATCTTCATAGAGGGATTTGCCCCCAAAGGTGCAATACTTTAATTTATTTATAACAACCATTCTTGAATATAAAGTGTACGTACCACATACAAAAATGTACACTGTATGTACAGTGAGGCTTAAAATATATTTGCATGCAATGTTCTGCATTTTGTTCTAGAAAACCTTTGGAAAACATTTAAAAACCAGCCATTTTACCATTCTGTACATAAGAACAATGCATATACGTTCTTTAAGTGTAAAATGAGCAAAAAAGAAAAACTATCCAGACTGAAACTGTATTTAGTCATGAGAAACAGGGAAGAAAACTGAAGGAAAATAGCATTTCTTGTCACTCACCTGGCAGACTTCGCACCGGCGCCCGATCACATTGGCTTTACACTTGCACTGGCCTGTCTGGGGGTCACAGATCTCTGAGAAGGAGCCATTGATGTTACAGTCACAGGCTGCAGAGGAAGGAGAAGGAGCTGTCAATGTATTTCCTAAAATACGTAAGCTGCTGAAGCTATCTTTACTAAACAAATGTTTACAGTGTGGCTTTTGCCACCCTGAGAAATCCAAGAAGGCAGGCCCAAGTAAAGCAGGAAGGTGTTACTCCCATACGGTGACAACACACATTAACCTCCCCATATTAATGTGGAATTTTGCTCCAAATTATTACAGTGAGAAATCTTGCCTTGACTTCATAAACAATGTGTTTTATATCCACCTCTCAGATCAAAAGAGGATGTTTAGGGCACATTACTGAGTATATGATGATGGAGAAATAAGGTTTTAAAGCAATAGCAACTTTGCCTTTATATTTTAATTAGTGCTGAATTTCTGGACCGAGAGGGTGGTGGGGAAGGCAAGGGTCTCTCCCTCTCAGAACAGCCTGGCCATTGCCCTGAAACTTGGAGTGGGCAGGGCAGCGCTGAGAGAAAAAAAATAAAGGGTACAGACCCTTACACAGGGTGTCTATGGGATTTAGCTCTGGCAGGTGGGAGTGCTACTGCTCCACATGCTGGTCCTGCTGCCCTGGAGTCCAGTCCGTGTTAATGCAGTAGGCAGGAAATGTTGGCAGGCTGAGGACCCAGAACAAGGTTACCTTCTGGGGACCTTTGCTGTGGGGGCAGTAACCTCTGCACACACACACCACCACCACCCCCAAAAGGTCTTCCTCACAGGCAGCACCCTGGAGCGCAGCTGAGAAAGAGACTGAGGATTATGTGCTCCCGTGACTCTCTGGTACCTCTGTCTGAGCAATAGCATCACAGTTCCCAGAGGAAATGTAATCCGACTGGCTAGCCTAACTCATCTCAACGCTCTCTTAAGGATTTCAAATGGCAATGAAAAGGAACTGCTGTTTCTTGAGGAAAAGAACAATGCTTTTGACTTCTAAATTCTCATGTTTTAGGAGAAGAGAATTTTTTGGGAAGCTTTCTGTCACCCTTTATGCTCTTTGACCACAATTCTTTTGGCTTGCAGAGATGAGGAAAAAATCCCTTCAGCATTTACAGTAGAGAAGAGGGATGTGATCTGGTGTCACAGGGACTATGCCCATGCAGTGACCAACTCCATCAGTGTGAGCTCATTCCTGCATGTCCTTTTTTTTCCCTAGAGGGGAATGAATCCACATCTCTATATTGCTTATCAACGTACTCTGTAAACCAATCCACATTTTGCCTTCCTGTAGTGCCCTGACTGCATGTGTTGGTCTTTTTCTCAATGTGACAGCTTCATTTTAAGAAACACTTAAAAGTCCCAACAGTGAACACATGGTGGTCGCATACTTGCATGTCACAAGGTGTCATTTGAAACAAAGCAGTTCTATTTTTCCTATGTATAGACTATTACAACAGGAGCTTTCTCATTACTTTATTGTACTTGCTACATTGTAAATGGAAAGGATTATTTTCTGTTCTTCTCCCCACTTCCGAGGTACTCTGCAAAAGTTGCTTCTTTTAATTTAAGTGAACTATGGCTTCCCAGTCTGTTCATGGCCTTATTTCTCAAATGTTTGCAAAGATGTCTCATATTCTGGAATAAGTAACAACACCACATTGGACTCTCTTATCAGCCTGGTAACACCTTCAGAGGTTTTGATCTCTCTCTGTTTTGTGATATATTTTTAAAATGTAAACATTTAAAAACACTTCTGCTGTAATTAACATCACTTTTCTTTTCTTTTACTCTCATTTTTCAACACTAACTGAATCCATAATTTATTTCTTTCATCCTGTATATGGCTCTCCTACCATAATATTTATGTTTTAAAACTGCTGACACTCTAAACTGTACACAGTGATGAGTAGCACATATATATGTTTTGAGTATCTTTCTAATTAAAATGGTCAACAGTGAAAGATGATGCATAAGCCCAAACTCACAAAACCACAATTCTCAATGCAAATTAACAGTATTTCACCACCCTTTTTACCCAGACCTGAAAAAAAAAAACAAAAAAAACCAGCCTGTCTTACTTGCAATGTTTTGCTTATCAGGCATACATCACCACAAGAATCAAGAAGAAAATTTACACTGATTTTAAAAACAGATGAGACTGTACAATTTATATTATATATTATGACAAATGGCATAGCATGTATTCGTAACTCTGCCACAGATGACTGAGTGCAGTGCCGTGGTAAGGCAGAATTTGGAAGTCAAGACTTTGTTTTTCCTGGCTGTGGCAGTATGCACATACAGAAGAAACATGGTCAGGGCTATTAATCTACTAAACTGCTACTCAATCTGATAAATTGCATTTAACTCACCTAAAGTCTTCTCATTCATTCACCTCTACTGGGAAAATTAGCTATTGTCCAAGCCTCCAAATGGCTGCTATAATACAATACAACCTGTCAGAGAAATTTGTCTTACTTTCTCCCAAAATGACACTGGTCAAGATCCTTCTCACTCTCTCTCAATTTGTATGTTTATGCATGTGTATTTATAATCAACCTACACACTTATTCACCTCCAATGGTAGTACCTGCACATAGGCACACTTGAATATTAGCTTTAATTCATCTCATGGCACTTAGCCCTACTACCATCAGCACAAGCTCCAGGTATTTGCTTCAGTACACTGTGCTATTTCACACCAAAAACCAACCTACTAGAATCAAATCAAATAAGCCTAGGACGTTTGCTCAGTGTTCTTAGATTTATTATTTTGTACAGATACACCAAGAAATTCAGAGACACTGGAGTGATATAAAGTCGTATTGTCATTTGAAATGGTTAATGCACATGACAACAGCACTGTACTGAGAAAGAGCAAGAAACATTTCAAACAATAATTTGAAAGCAAAATTCATGCTTTGCAATACTCTTGGATTTGGCTTTTTAATAAGGAATGAAATTGAAAACAACAAAGTAAAGGCACAGTCCCTCTGATATTGTAGCTGCAGGGCAAACTTCATGGAAGTCTGCAAAGGAAATAAAAAATCATATGCAAAAAAGAAAACCCACATGAAAGACGGAGAGTAGATGAATACAAGGTAACTGTGAGCACAAGGCTATGAATACATTAGGGGGCTCTCCTTGTCAGTGATGCTAACATCAAAAGCAAAGCTTGTAATTCTACATTAAATATGTATTTATTTTTAATACTTTTTTTTAATTGTATGTTTTGTGAACTCTCCTCATATTACATCTCTTCCCCAAGCAGCTGCTACTACTGTAGAAACAAGCTACTGGAAGCTATGATTTTTGAAATACACTTCTTTTAAAATGATGCTATACACTTAACACCCTAACTTATATGACATTATTCATCACGAACTGTTAACTCGCGCAGAGAATATATGTGATTGTCCAACTTTTATCCAGCATTGTATAAAGTAGATACAGAAAGCATTTACACAGGTGTATGTCTTCATGGCTATCTATGATTTTACGTATATCAGTGTTATTAGCCTTTGCTGAGAAACCTGGTGATGCTCTGCATCTCGCTGGCTCCCATGAAGTCTTAGGTGGTCCAATCAAACTTAGTATTTGGACTGTCAAACTGCAAGTCACTAATAGCCCAAACCCTAGAAATGGATGTTAGTGTCTCAGACCTCCGTGCTTGCAACACTTATTGCAGAAGTGGTCCCTGTGTTCCTACATACACACACAGCAATAAGACAATGACCCAGCTCTTTTACTTGCATAATTTTATACTGATAAAGCACCTTTGCACTCAATGGAGTTGCTCTGAGTTTATTCAAATGAAAGAAAAGGCTTAAATCCTTGTGACAGTGAAATAAAATTCTCTGCTTTTTCAGGACAGTTTACAACCTGTTGTATTCCATTTCTCAGAATGGAGTGGAAGGGTATGTGAAGAATGTTTTTAAGTTAAAAGCACTTGTTCTGCCTAATAGCTGCATTCTGAATTGTGTCAGCAATGGCTCAGAGAGAGTCACTGCCTCCTACAGAAGCAAAAGCTCCTGCTCCTACCAAATTCTCCATCTGCTCTCAATAATTTCCTGCAGTCACTATGGGGAAGTATGAGCTGGGGCTCATACTTAAACATGCCACCATTCATCTGAGAAATGGTAGCTTGCTGCAGTACTAGGTATCTTCCTCCAGAGCACCTTAGAAAATGTGTCAGATTTTAGACTCTGCTTTGCAGGAGGTGGGAGAATCTTGCCCTGTAAGACACAGCAGCTCCCAATTCTTACCGAGGATCATATAGGTGGGAAGGAAGCCACAAGTGCTGCCAAAGTTGGACCCTGCAGTAACTGAAATATCACTCCCTCCTTTCAGCACCAATCTTACTAGTTAATGGGATTTCCCTGGATGGCTTATAGCATTTTTAGTGATTCGTTTTCATTTATTTGTATTTATTTTTGTAGATCTGACATTTAGTATAACCTTTTGCATCCACGTAGTGCTCCGCTCTCCCAGGTTTTTTCCATGTCTACTTCATCACTGCTTCCACTACAGCAGGAAGTTTTTTAGTACGTTCTTCTTTCTATTTACTTTGAAGTCTCCCTTTCCAGAGGCAGATGCAAGTAAAACACTATTGTTATTAGACTTGTAAGTACACCGTATTGTTCTCTTGCTCGCACATACAGAGGCACAGTATTCCTCTCAGGAACATGGATATAGGATAGATCAATACTGTCAGGAGCAGTAAAAGTTCATGACTTACGTTGACAGTTCTTTGCATCAAGAGCATCGCCAAAATATCCATCAGCACACCTCTCACAATATTGGCCCGTTGTACCTGGCTTACATATCAGGCAAGCACCAGACAAGCTGTCACAGCTGCCAGGAATGGAGAAGTCAAGGTTGTCATTACACTGGCATGGCTGGCACGATCCCCCTGGTATTAGAGGTTGTCCAAAATAGCCTTCTGCACACCTAAGGTAAAAGACATCACCAGTTAGGACTCTTAAATAATCCTCTGATTAGAAATATTTAATTTTGTTGCCTCACTAATCACCAAAAATGATTTGATCTTCTTTCGAGTATTTCTTAAGCGTCTTTTCTCTCTCCCCCTCCTTCTCCTTTTTTACAACACTGTAGATACAGTACCAGCTGAAATCCTGCCAGTTCTGCTAGTAATTAGATTTCAGTGGGAGAACAATCTTGTCACTGGCACTGAAGACGAGACAAAGCATAATAAGAAATCTGTCTATTGGCACACTGAAGGAATTCAGGTCCATGTTTAGATAGGCTTTGTATTTCAGCACATCATGTCTAGATGTTCTGTACTCATTTACCAGCAAGCTTGATGATTTTTTCCCTCTACCTTAAAAACATGTTTAGTTTAGAAAGACAGGTTTAGAAAATAATACAAACATAAATTTGTTTACCTAACAAGATCCTCCCCTGACTTAGCCTTCCCCTGATCTACTGCATGGTCCGATTTGTTTAATTAATGGATTGCTAATCTCTGTGTATAGGCAGGTACAAAAAGTTTGCTCAATATCACAGGAGCTATGTTGGTGTGTACTCCACCTTTCATATTTTAACAGAGATGTCTAAAAATATCACCTTATTTTCCACCTTGCCCACTAGCAATTTCCTGTGAGTACCATGTAAAACAGGTTAGTGAATCTGACCTAACATGAGTGTGTATTTAAAGCGAATTTCTACTCATTTCACAGCCTATTTCCTATTTATATTCTGGTCTGCTTTTCTTTTCCATTACATTTGCTCACACTTCACCGTAAGAGCAACTTGTAGATAGTGAAGAAAAAGAAGAAAAATTGCCTAGCTCCAGCTAATGAAGTTATTCATGTGCATCTCAGATGAACTCCAATTAGTGTAAAGAAAACAGAAAGTACATAAACCACATTCTATAAATTAATGTTTCCTACTATTTTAAAGTCAGTTTGAACACAGTTCTAACGTACATAGATATCTTTTCTGCTTTGTAATAGTAGTGGATGGTATGGTCGAGCAAGGATTTTGCGTACCATCCTAACACAGGAATGCAGAGCTCCACCACGCTCTTTCACTTTTGTCCCTTTATGCTCATCAAGTTCATCCTTTTCCTTGCATCCAGGATATCTCATGAAGCTTCCAACTGCATCCTAAACAAAGCTGTCTAAATATTTATTAAATAGTATTCACTATCATTAGCAAAGAATACAAAAATGGGTAACTGAGACTAGGGAGGAAATTATAGCTGGATCTAATTGAACAGGTTTTTTATAGTAAGATATTACACAAAGTAGGATTTCTTCCATTCTCTAAAAATACCCACAATGCAGAACAGAGATAAATAATATGTATAAATAGTCCAGTGGTTTGGGTGCATGTAACCACTCAAGAACATGAGTAAAATTTTCACAATCTAGCCCACTGTGCTTTACTCCTTTAGCATAGCCATCTCACAATTACCTCCTCATAGCAACAATACATCAAAATCTTGTCATTACAATAATTCAGGCATTTTATTTTCAGAACCTGTCATGAATGTAGCCACATATTGTACCTCCTTGTATTCCCCGCAAAGAAATTGATATTTTTTCCTTGGATGGAAGATATCTCAGCAACTGCAAAAGACTGATTTTTAGCTTACTTTGGCCAAAACAAGTTGGCTTTTTTTCAGTGATGATATCTCAGTTACAAAGGCCAGGAATATCTCTTAATACATGTAACAATTAATAGCCATGTTTTATCAAAGCCAAAGAATAACTGGATAATTTATGTAGTTATCTTATTTTACCTAAAACAGATGATGCGTGAAGTTCACCTACACTTTGCTGAGATATTTCTCACTTATTACTGGTGCATTTGTCATAAATCTGTACCTTTTGGTATTACTAATCTATTTGACTTCACTTAATGTGTATTCATTTTCCTCCTTCACTTTCATTTAAGGGTTAGTCCTGTATCTGATTGATAGCATTCACAGAAACGTACCAAGCAGTTCACAGAAAAAAATGCTCCAGGGATTTGTGAGACATGCACTGCTATTCATTTCCTTCTGTTAATAGCAGGAGACCTTGATAACTCTTTGTATTCTCATCAGTTTAGACTTTCCTAATTCAAATTAGCAAAACCCACTACCATCACGTAGCTATGTTCTCCTTATACACATACAAAATCTTGAATCCAGATTCAAGATGATCCTGAAAGTAGGGGTAAATCAGTTAAGCTTAAAAGAAAACTGTTTGCATATATCTATGTGTAAATTCCTCCACTTTTTCTCCCACTTCTCCTGAAGTTGCATGGGAAGATTAAAAAAATCCACTTTCACTAATTCCATCTTTATTCCCTTAAGTACATTTCTACTTCAGCTACTCTTCTCAAATTTAAAACATTGCATGTTTGGCAAGGTTTATATTGAAAAAACCCCAATAATGCACATGGCATGGAAAATTACATTTATGTATTACACAAAATACATAGCTAAGTAAACAACTGCTAAGTACAACAGAACACCTCTGAGATGAAAAAATAAATAACGATAGGAGTAAAAGCAGTGAAGAAAGATTGTCTCCATACATTTTTCTTTCTTCCTCTATGCTCACCTTTACCGTCAAATGCAGGTGTGTCTGTGACTGACACCATTGGTTTTTATTTGGCATAACTGATGCCAAATACAGCGGTACTATGTAAACATATGAGTGTGTATGTGTACTGGGTCTGGCTGGGATGGAGTTAATTTTCTTCATAGCAGCCTGTATGGTGTTGTGTATATACATATATATACATGCAAACACAGGGCTATTTTATACATTTCTTTATATTTACTGGGGAAAAAAATCCCCTTGAGACAGAGTTAATTTAGGCTGCAAATCCAAACACTTTAAACTCTGGAAATACTATTTTTACAGTTGCTTTGAAACTTCTGTGCATTCAACCTGTGTACAAAATCGGGCAAAAACCCTGTGAAGAAACGGCTTGTGAACACATAGTTAAAAATCTTAACTCAGGCACACAACACAGATGTTATTGTTGTATGACCAACTATAAATCTTGCATTTTCTAACGTCAGAGTGCCTACTTTTGCAAGCTGTAAACAATCCTGCAGAACACATTTGTTGCATCAAATCTCCTCAACATTTGACCCTTTTCCCATTAGCACTGCAATACGGACTTGTACTTCTGGTGCAAGTGGAAGAATTCTATTAGCTAGAAGGAGCAGCAGGTTGAAGTCACAGGACTCACAAGGGACTGCGGCTGGTGACACTCTGTGCTAGACCTGAAGAAAAGGGTGGGGGGCAAGGAAGGACACGACCCAGCTCACCCTTCTCCTCCCACTTGTGTTACACTGACCTCTTATCTCTCCTTCTAGGATGACAAGGTCACTGGAACCATATTTGTAAATAAAAGAGTGCTACAAGAAAAGCTGGACTCTCAGCCATGGTGTGCTCTTGTCTATATGAAGACTATGTAGCTGGAAAATGCATATCGTCATCCTATAAATGTGCTGGGCTCAAAGGACAGCTTTTTGACATTCTCATACACCCTTTCTATGGAGTTGGGAGAGTGTCTGTGCTACCTCATACACCTTGGGAAAGTGAGCAGTGAGTAAAGGAAGAACATAAGTTTAATTTGCTGGGGAAAAGGCTTAAATGAGGAAGCTGGGCTTTCTCTACAATTATACATATGTAGTAACTCCCAATACAGTTTATATCTGCAATTTTTTTGATGATGTTATGAGCTGGACCCCTCAGAACATTGAGCAATTGTTGCAACATTTTCTGGAAGAGTTCAAGTGAGAGAAGTAGCAATATTTTTTTTTGACATTTTACAACTCAGGTGTAAAAATAAATAAATAAAAATTAATTTTAAAAATAAATAAATAAAAGATCTTATCTCCCTAGGGGGTAGAGGATGATTTTGGAGGCCAAATAAGTACAGTACTGTGTATGTTCATTTCATGAGACTTGGTACTTCATGATAATTTAGGACTGTTTAGTTAATGAGTCATGTGGCTCAGATTGCTTGTCACTTTGCAGTTGCTAAAATGAAAGAGAATTTCATGTAAACTTTTTTAGCAATTATACAATCACTAGTAATAGCAAAAGGCAACACACTTTCTCCTGTTGATTACTATTGACAGCTGTGGGCATTTCCAAGCAACTTGTTACAATTAAAAGCAAATACTTCTATGAACATTGGAATTAATGGCCTAATTTCCAGTAGATTTATATCTCACAGTTACAAGGCTAAGGGCTGATTATTTGCTGCAGGATGTTGCTATTCAGCAGGGAGTAATCCCTCAGGCTACAGCAGTGCTTTTTCCTTGCCCTGTGAAAGTTTTCTTATGGGCAGAACATTTAATAATCTCTGTCTCTCTCGTTCTCTCTCTCATGTATTCTCTGCTGTTTAATCAGGTGTGAGTTCACACAGTGTTCTCCCCCTTAGCTATGACATGTCCTGATCTATTAACCTCTATGCAGCCACTTCTTTGCGTGAAACCTTCAGGAACAATGATTATCTTTGAGACCTCCTACCCTTCAGTCAAATTAGGTTGAAATTGACCTACAAGTTCAAACGTCTTTGCGGGCAGCCAGACAGACATGCACAAAAAGATCACACCAACCTCATTTCCTTGGGAATTCAGGCTAAAATCCAAGCCTGCCACTTATTCAGATTCTGTCCTACTACATCCACAGCCTGTGCTCCACTCAGAAATAGCACTTGTTGCTAATGGAAGCTGTCAATGACCCTGCATTGACAAACTGCCACCAAAGTGCTCTTGATGTGATTTATTCCTGCCATCATTAACTTCACAGCCCACTAGCTGAAAGAAGGTGATGACTTCCCAGACAGACAGGAAAAGACAGGCAGAAATAGCACGCAGCAGGAACAGACTCAGTGATGATGGGTGGAAACAGGTGACAGCCTGCACTCTCACTTTAGGACAGATATAGCACAACAGGGGATTTAAAAGGAAGTAGTTGTAAATGTAAATTGGAAAGACAGGACTGGAGGGCTATTCACAGCGTATGGTCAGGTTCCTGCTTTTCTGGTTGGCTCTTTCTCTTGGTTCATTCCTACTTTTCCTCATCCCAGCCTGAATATTTTAAGTCTTCATTCAGAAGCCTCACCTGTTTTTTTAAGGGTTTACGTTGGAAAATGCTGCAAGTAGCTCATGGAAGTGCCAAAAGGCAAAAGCCTAAAAAGGAACACAAGTGCCATGTTTTCATGCCTCATAACTGTCTAGCCAGGTGTTAGACAGTTCTCTGGCTCCCCCAAGCCCTCTTAAAAAGGTGTCATTTGCAGGGTCACAGGGGACTGGGATCATGGAGCCAAAGCCAATGCTGATTCATCACGACCTCCAAACAACTAGCAGAGGTCCCCTGGCACACTAACTGCTCTTGAAAGCTGTTCCATCGATGTGAAATCCCAAGGGACCAAAGGCGTGCAGACATAGTGATGATATCCCCGGTCTATGCGGTCTCACCTCCTGTGGAAGGGGGTTCCCGGGAGCTTAGCACCAACACTCGCACTAGCCTTCTCTTTCATTTAAATTCTCCTCGTGATCCTTTCAGAATAACAGGATGTAAGAAGGGGAGAGAACTTTCTCTCTCAGCACTAACATGTCATTCAGACCTGTCATAGCCAAAGACAGACGACATATTTTTTTTACTTGTCTTTTGTATAGGTAGTAATAAGTGTAGGAAATATATATTGAGCTTTTCTATGTATTTGACAAAGAATAATTATCTTCTTTGTCATTAAAACCTACCTGGTTCTACTTGCTAAATAAAGAATGCAATGGGAAACTAGAAGTAAGAAAAATGTAAAATATTCTTTTTAAAAATAATTAAAGTCAACAAATAACTTAGAAGAGCTGTATTTTCACTGCATATTAACTTCTCTAAAAGAGGCATCAGTAATTTATTGCATATTTGATTCACCATGCTCTAAACATTCAAAGGACAAAAGAGACAAAATAATTATAAAAATCTCAAAAGAGTGACAGAAAAGCTAGAAGAATCATTTTAAAAAAAGATTCTCACTTCTCTGCAAATGCTTCTTGGAAGCTTTGTACTTTACCATAAAGTATTAAAACAACCACTAGAAATATACAAATCCATGGACACCATATCAGAGGAAGATGCACAGGAATTTCTTCAGTGAGTTCCAGCACACGGGAATGGGGATGAGAAGGGGAAGTAAAAAAAAGGTAGAACAGTTCCTTGTGATCAATACTTTTGTTCCAGATCTCATATGGTTAAAAGCATGGTGCTTACTTACCTTTCACAGCGTGGTCCCATGTACCCAGCTGGGCATTCATCGCATATTAGTCCACGACTTCGGTCAAAATGACATGTCGGGCTAAAGCTGTGTTGTTGATATTGGGTAAGAAGAGGGACAAGGAAGAAACATAAAGAAAAGATGGTTAGCAGCATAGCTCTCTTCCCACTCCAGAGATCATTAATTTGCAAAACAGTGTCCAGGAAAAGTGGACATGGGGCTTAAGTTTGACTCCAGCAAATTGAATTTGGAATGACTCTGCTATTTCTGTGACACTGAATATAGAGTAACGGATGGCAGCATCCCAATAGCCTGTTATTACGGGACTTGAGCCTGCCACCGAGCGGTCTGGATACTATTAAAAAGGCAGGAATGTACAGCTGTTTGTTTGTGCCCCCGAGGGCCTGGCAAAACAATCTATGCCATAATGTGGCCCTTATATAAATCTTTCTGAAGGACAATTGGTTTGAAAGCTCTGTTAACTTTGTGTATAATCGGCTCTGAAAGGAACCCAGTGAACAAGGGGAGGGGCAAAAGGGGAAATATCTGGTGCAGCTTCCCAGAGTGCGTTTGAGTAAATTGAGTGCCAATGACCTCAAGCAACAGGCCAGACAGACACGCTGAAGTTTAAGAATAGCTTGTAGAGTAGAAAGCTTTACCTCTTTGCTATGCTATACTTATTTTTAGCTGGTTTTTTTTGGTTTTGTTTTTGGGGTTTTTTTAATAAATAAGGATATCATAGGCATTCGCAAGCTCCACCTCTCAATGTCTGTGTTTAACTCTGAACTGTGCTCCTTCACTGGTTAGCATTTCACTTTCCGTAAACTTTCTCCCTTAACACAATTTTGTGAGGAAACTTCTTGACACTCTACAAGACACCACACAGAAGCAGCAGCAACCTGTTCTTCTATCATTCTGGAATGATTATTAGAGACAGAGACATACGAGCACCTTTATAGGGCCTCATCTAAATAATTGTAATCAATTTTGGTCAACCAAATGGAAAAATAGAAAAAGGGGGAAAAAAGAAAAAAATGGGAGCAGGTGCATAGTGGGGTGACTATTCACAACAGGAAAACAAAACACCTATCTGCGAAGAAGATACTAAACTTATCTTTTGTAACCTAGGAAAACACAAGTTGAGAAGGAATAGAATTGGCCTAACAAAACATCTTCAAGCTAAAAGTTCATGCTGCAATAATAACAAACAGACATAATCTGACCTTGGATAAATTAAAGCAGGATATATGATGAAAGTTTCTGGAAAATAATAGACACAGGGAAGACAGAAAAGCTTAATTAGGATCATGTAATGTGATTACCTGCTGGTGACTGGACCCCACTTCTCAGGAGTCATCCGTCCTATGATCTGAGCTCAGTTACTCTTTATTCTGTTTCTGATTATTTCCATTTATAAACACCCTGTCTGTCACAGGGCAAGTTATCCCACAGACATAAGAGATCAGTAAGAAAAATGTGGGAAGGCCAGGTCTGGTAAACATAGACACATATTGAGATTTCCTTCTTTTCCATCAGGATTATGTGGTGTTATTTTGCAATGCCATTCATTTCAGAATAGATTCATAAATGCATGAGGGGCCAGTTGAAGAAACAATAATTGTTCATTCTATTTTTAAATAGCAATGAAAGCAATTTTCAACTGAGGCACACGTAAGGCACACGTAATTTTCAACTGAGATCATTGAATCTAATCAGCAGCACCTGAGTTATTTCAAGTAAGATCCTGCTTGTCAGTCCCAACCTCACTCTTTCTAAGAGCTACATGGGAAACTTTGTGGAGATGCTATCACAGCTCATTATAGCATTGCACAAGATTGACTATACCACAGTTCCAACAAGAGCTTTGAATTCTATTGCATAAATTTTAAAGGTAATAATTGTAATAGTAAAAATAGTATTAATAGTAATAATAGTATTAGTAATAATAATAACATAGTTATTATTACCAAGCAATAATAATGAATAGCAGAATTTCAATGTTTTCAAGGGTTATGCTCAGACCTAGCATCCTTTGACTCTTTCTCTGACTTAATAGTCAGTCCACATCTCAACACTAAACATTAATATATTGAGAAATTCCCATCTGCATGCTATAAAGGAAATATGTGACAGCAGGGTGAGAAAGAAAGAGTTTATCTTCCTGATTATTTAGAATCTCATTACTCACTAGTGACAAATACTAATGAACAGTGATATTGATCTGTCAAAACAAGCTTCAAAAAATCTTACTTCCTCTTGATTCATCATCACTCTTTTCAGTTTTTACATAAGGTAACAACATTAATATCGGTGAGGTCATGGGACAAGTATGAATACACAGTATGGGTATATATGTGATAGGTCTAAGTTGGGAAACAAGGCTTCTTAAAGACGTACAACTATGTTATAGAAAACACGTCTTGGGAATAAGTTCGTGCTTTGATATAATTGCCCAAGAAAAAATTAACATTCTGAGATCCGAATTTCTAGTTCACATGCTACAAGTTTACTTGTGACCTTCTCAAGCTGAGTGAGATATCTTCTATCTCCCATTTCCAATGATAAAACATTCCTGTCAGGGTCTTCATCGCCCTTATTAAATTTATCGCCATTTCAAGATAAAAGCAGTAATTATCCCAGACATCTACATTTGGTAGAAAGAATTATACAGTAGTATGTCTGATAATTTCTATGGGAAAAAAAAATCAGTTTATTTGAAACCCCTTAAAGACTAAGAATGTTAGAACAGTTTGCAAGAGTGATGCATTAATGAGAAGAGATAAGACGAAGAAGACAAGTGTGCATTACAGATGCCATTTTTAATATGGGTATTGATCTCATTTGCATCGTATAAGCACAAATATGGAGATATATGCAAAAAGAGGAAAATATAGCCCAGGATCTAGAAAACAAGCTTAGACAACCTAATTTTACTTTCCTGATTTGGCCAAGCATTCTTTTCTGACATATGGCAAGTCACTTATCACTGTTGTGCTTCAGGAGGTAGTTTTATGATTGGCTTCACTGAATGCATATGGAAACTGCTGCCACTAGGAAACAGGAGAGGGAATGAGCAGCAGTTAAATCGGCTTAAGTTAACTATAGAACAGCACCATCATCACCACATTTCTAAAATGGATAGAACAGTTTTCCACCTTATGTGGCATTGCAAAGAAAGTCTCAGGTGCTGTGAAGACAGTGATGGGAACCATTATAAACATCATAAAGAAATAAGACACTGCTATAAAAGACAAAACTAATTTCTTAATATAAATATGTCAGAGGTTCGTTATATGGACAATATTCTGTATGCACCAGGAACTTAGTCCTAAGCTTAGAGACCTACAGTTGCCCTGTCATGCCATGTTAGGAATTAAATGCGACAGGAATTAAAATCTATAGACAGCTATTTATAATCATTTGTACATAAATTAGTCACTTGTTAGGTTATTCAGAAATAACATGACATATAGTACATCTGTACAGTGACATAAGCTTGGAAGAAATTTATTTTTCATGTGAAGAATGTGGGAAGGAATCTGAATTGTTTACATATATTATCCCTAGCATGCCAAACTCACTGCCAACAAAGAGAGGAAAATGAGTTTTTAACAGCCTTCAGGTAACACATTAAATCTTTAACAATCTCTTTTTTTCCTCATAAACAAATTTAATAATTGGTCTAGAAGTGTAAAGTCATGAGAGCTTGAACCTTACACTGAATTCTACAGAGCTTGAGGATGTTGTTCACAGTTTTGCTTTGGTCCTTATTTTAGAAATAGAAAGCTATTGCACAATTCTAATTGCAGGGCTAAACTTTGTAGGGTTCAGGACTCCCACAGTTTCACAGTTCAAGAACATTTATATTCTGTCTTTGTTTTGTACCTATATTTCAAGCAAACTAAATATTAAAAAGGGGACTCTCTTGTTCAATTTCAGAAAAGGAAAAGTAATGCAGCCAGAACTCTGATGAATACATAATAGAGGTCTCTAGGCAGTTTGCCAATAATAACCTAAATTCAATCTATTTGATTTGGTTTGTTGCACATCTGCACAAGATATAAATGTGATAGTGTTTTCCTGCTTTGTCAGTAGTGTTCTCAAACAAGAGAAAGAGAAGTAATTAACTATGCAAGAAAATACTAAGTATGTGAAAGCAATGAGGACGTCAGAGGAACCATGCCTGAGCAGCGCACATAATAAACCCCTGTATATCTAATAAAACCAACTGAAGAGCTGTGATAACAGGAAGGCAGGCTCCCATTCTACAGTCCCCTGAAGTTTCTGCAAATAAGTGCTTAAATTATGCCTGCCCTGATCAGTGCAATTTTAGTAGGACGCAATGCCACTGTAGGCAACAGTGTTAGCCTGAACTACTTAAAGCAAAATTTGGTTCATCTGTGCCTGATGTTGGCACACTGCCATTCCGATGATGTTCTCTTCTTTACTTGCATCTTGCAGAGCTCCCTTGCTGTGCTGGTGGTAGCCATGCACTTTGCCCTGTAAACCTTAAGTACTCTTTATACTCAAATAGTAAAGTGCATTTCATTGGCAGAATCTGACTCTGTTTTGGGCAAAAAGGGTGAAACAGAAGATGCAGGGCTGAAGGGAAAAAAAAAAAAAAATACTCCAGTGGGTTTATCAGCTCCTATAGCCACTTAAAACTTTCAAGCTGTGTGAAGAGCTTGGGATGGGGCAGCCTCTGTGCGTAGTTTACAATCTTCCAGTACAATCCTACAATCCTTCTGAAATGCTTCTATGGACTCACACTGATTCTTTTCAGAAGGGAAACATATCCAATTGGTGGCTGGAATTTGGGCAAGCATTAGTTACCATTGCAAACATGTCAGCCATACTCAACAGTTCCTGATCTTCCTGAGCAATTATTGTATGTGTTGCACCACAGCAGCTCTTCTGTGTAATCTGGACACGTGCTACTTGCACCATGGCTGGTTTTCACTGAAGCCGTACTGGATGGCATAAACCAAACGTGCTAATTCAAACCGAACAGTTTTCTTCAACTACATCACATCAAAGGATTTTGGTATTGTTCTTTTCTAGGTACCGACTGGGACAAAATTAGTGAAAAAATGTTCAAGCCACTTGCCTCTTAAATTGCAGGTAGCAAGTAGTGCAGACAAGCTTTGGTAATGAAGGAAACATTTGTTCTTGGATCAGAGTTTTGATTAACTTTTCACTACTATTTTTATTCAATAAAACAAATTTATAGTGATTATTCTGAGATATGCTGACAAAATATTTTTACTTGCAAGATCTAAGGCTGAATTCAGACTCCAAAGGAATCAAGATTATCACTGAGTGTTGACTGGAAGGAAAGGAAAATTAAAAGCAGAAGAAATCACTATTTTATCTGATCAACATAAATTGATTTTAAATTCAATGATTAAAACCCCCACACGTCAAATCTGTAAATTCAGCTTTAAAACTAGAAACAACTACTCTTAAGGAGGACAGAAAAGCAAATGTTAGTTATTGATTCAAAGAGCAGTAATCCAAATTCTATGTTGCTCTGTCTAGCCTGGACTCATCCAGCTTTTGTCTTGATCTTTGCCTGCCTGTGAAGCTAAGCACTCCATACAATTGTAAAAAGAGAACAAAAGTTTATATTGCAGAATATATTATTTGATTAAACCACAAAGAAAATCTCATGTGCACATGCAAATATATAAACTAAAAAGTTATGCAATTTACTAAGTGAAAAAGTGCAATATGTAATAAATATACATCTTACTTGTTAGAAAGTATATTTAAGGGGCAAGCACACAACCGACAATCTTCAGCTGTCCCTTTGGTCGGATCACCATAGAAGCCAGGAAGACATCTATCACAATAAGAACCACCTGTGTTGTGCTTGCAGTCCTAAACAGAAGATGAAAAGTAAACATTCACAATTAGAAAACTGACATATGGAAAGTCCTTGAAAGTCATTCACCTAGCCCATCCTCTCAACAGGATTGTCAGAGGTCTGCAACATGTATTCTAATTTTCTGCTGCTGGTTGAGAAACAGTTCTAGAGGTTAGCTTTCACAATCAGTATGTGTCAGGTATTTGTGTTCTTTTGGATAATTTTTCTCTATGTAAAACAAAAAGAATATTTAACTGTAGACCTTTACCTTTCCACCATACAACAGCCACATTATTGTTTTAGTTTCCTTAAAGAAAAACAGCCTTCAGAGCAGCACAAAACGGGTTTAGTATTGCAGTCTTGCAACAGGCCAGATCTTGGGACAAACAGTTTTCAGCTGTTGATCCCAGAAATACAGCCCAGACTATATAATTTGTAAAAATGAATTAGTACACTTCACATATAAGTACATTAGCTCATTTTACAAGGTACATGGCTAGCAGTATACTAAATATATTTCTGAATAGTAGCAAAGCCTGAATTACTTAATTAATACTTATTTGCTAGAAGGGCATTCAGACTCTATTTTATGAGTTGAAAAAAGGATGAATATACTGTATAGAGGGCCCTATTCAAAAGTTTGTCTACCTTTAGGTGACTGGCTTTCATAAAACAAGAGACAGTTTATCTGAGCATATGAAACATCCAAGATAAAAATGGCAGGACTAGATCTGCTTTTTTTGTATATAACCTTTGGCCTGATCTCAAATTAAATGATCTTTTGGCAGAATGAGAACTGGTGCTCTGAGAATGGCTTTCCTATGATGACTTGTAGGAACCAAGTTTTACAGAGTAATTACCCCTTCCACTCCTCTTCCTCCTTCACCATATAGGATTTAGAAATTATAAATAATTTGGCAGGATCCATGATAGGCTCAGCAAATTAGTTTTCTGGCTTAAACTCTTTCCTTTTTTTTTGCTACATTTTTAGCAGACCACACTATTCCTTTCACTGCTATTTTCCACAAGATACTGAAGTGTAGCCCTTTCACAGTGTAAAAACAGAGAAAGCAAGAAAAATATTTTTGGCTCTTAAATGCCATCTTGATGTGCTTGGTTAGAGACTGAAAAAGCATATGGCAACTTGAAAAGGCCAAAATGAAAGCCATGAGAGAGATTTTATTTAATCGGGTGTGTTCTGATCTGATTTAGACAATGGGCCAGATCCAGTCTGTTTTACCCAAGATCCAGTCTGTTTTACCCAAGCTGTTGCTTAAGAACTCTTGTGGGTTTTTTTTTAAAGGTGTAGGTATTTCCAAATTTATGATTTAATTTAAAATATTTTTAGAAACACTTTAAAATTGTTTTCTCATTGTAATAAGTGACACGTATGGTACTGACTGATATTTAATAGCCTTACTTTCTGAAAGACATAATGTATTCTCAAAAAGGGATAAAGAAAATGGCACTGTTGTAAGGAACACTGATTTCTTCTTCACGACTTTCCAGGATTGCAGTGATTTGTAGGAAGCTTTTTTTGCATTGTGTTCTGCATAGCCAGTATCACACATGCTGAAAAAGCACGATACCGTTTTCAGTCATGAGCGCATTGGAGTCAAAAGCTTCTGTCTCCAGGAATGCTTTTTGCTGTTTTAAAGGGTGCATTCTTATTGCTTGTGTATGCCATCAGCATATCTTTGAAATGAAAGCATTAGTCACAATATTATATTTTCACATATTTGGTAGATTGTGAGCTAATACCAACTATTGAGACTCTTAGTAAAAATAAAATTATGGCTTTAGAACCATCAGCTGGGTTAAATTCTACTTCATTAGGTCATTTAAGTCCATTTGATTGTTAGTTCAAGTGCTGTCATTCAAAAAGAATCTACCGGCCATACCGAATAAGTAGCTGGGAACATTAAGATATGCTTTTAAAAGAAGATGTGACAAAAATAATTTAAGTGTTTCAAAAGAAAAAACCTTTGCAATTCAACTTTTTTAAGGCGTCATGTCAAATTATTTGTACTTTTTCTGAAAAATAATGGATTCTTCTTTTGTGTTAAGTTTAGCTTTAAATATCCTCAGACATATCTTACTGTTTTTGAAGAATATGAACGGCTTACATGTCAAGGATGTTATTAAAGTGAGAGGAGCTAACACACTATTTTAAAACTATGCATCTCTTTTACACAATGGTATTTGCAGCTTCTGCTTTTTTAAGTAAAAAACCTGAAACCTTCCATTTTGTAGGAAAACAAAGACCTGACCTTCTTCTCTTTGATGAATTACTTTCTGAAACTCTAATGCCAGTCATTTCCACGTACTGTGTCTAATTCTCCTCAATTCAGATCTCTGTATCTGCCTACTTTCTCACCATGAATCAATCAATTTAAAAACAAAAAAGAAAACAACCCCACACATACAATACCAAAATCTGAGCATATGTTGCACAGTGTATATGTTAGAGTTTAGCTGAAAAATAACGATCTTGTGTGGTCCTATACTTTTCTCCCTGAGCCAGTTTGGATTTTGCAGGACAAACAACAAGGATTATGTAGTATGTAGATGTGACATAATTTGCCTGTTCTCTTCAGTGATGCATTAAATTTTATACTAATTTGCCAAATTTATAGATCACTTTACATACCGAAGTAGATGAGTTCTTAGCACTTCTAAAGATATTATCAATACTCATGAAAAAATTGTGTTTCCTTGATAACAATTGGTTGAATCTCAGTTTGAAACTTGCCAAATGTACAGCAATGCTTTTGAGCATCACTGAATTTAAGCAACGTTCAAATATACTGAGATTATTCCCTGAAAACATGCTTAAGCCTGTGAAGTCTTAATGTCATGTTCATAGGAACATTTAATTATTTGTTTTTATGTCACGAGACTGGGTATGAAGATCATGACCAACTGTCCCTGAACTCACTACATTATATACACTTTCTTTTTATTCCCTTGAAAACATAGTTTGTTCCAACACATTGATCTAGTGATTCTGGTAAAATCAATGCCTTGTTCCATAGATCCATAGACTTTGTGGCCAGGAATGATATGATGCCCAAATCTTTATGCTTTCAAATTCTAGGTACTGGATCTCAAACTATTTTGAATGCATCAATTTTCTGGACCTCTTTTATCTCCCTAACACCATTAATCTTCACTTAGACAACCTTTGAATAAGCAAGACTATGGAATTTATTTTTGTCCAAAATTTTATGTATGACTCAGACCTTGTTGCCCAAAGACTTTATTGCTGATGTCCTGGAGTGTGTTTTCCACCATTTCCTTCTGAGCCAGCTCTCCCCCCTTGAAAGAAACCAAATGAACATTTTCATGCCCAGTATCAGGGAATCCTAAATTCACACCGAAACCCATGCCTGCTTAGCTGCATATGCAGCTGAGTGTGTATGAATATGGAAAGAAACAGTCTGAACAGAAGGCTAGTGATGAAAATAAAACTTTAATCAGGGAGTACGACTGAGTCCAGGATAGTGCCTTTGGCACTCTGCGGCCCTTCCTCAGGGTATCTGTCATGGACACAACCAGGGAAGCTGCTAGTTTAAGCTAGTTAAAGAAAGCGAAAGGGTAAGCCTGGATGCCTATTTTAGTATACTCCCCAGCCAGCTAGACCAGACAATGGCATTACGTCTTTGGAAGCATGAATATGCTCTTCTGGCATTTTCAAACTACCGTAATGTCGAGAGTACCTGGACAATTCCCTTTCCTGGTGTTAAAAATGCAATCAGGATGTTGCAGAAGCTTTACATAATTTTCACCTGTGGTATAGCCTATACTGCATTTAGCCTGGGAACTATCATTTTTATAGTGTATGTACGAAGACGGGTGAAGACATTTTGTCGCTCCTGTGATGAAGACTGTCTAAATCACATGTCCGCTAGCTCTGACACTGGCCTCAATCTGCATGGTATGTGCTGTTTACACACAAAGGAATAAAACACAAAATGATGCCACTGGGGACTGTCCACTTAGCAATTTGAGCATATCTTAGGGAGGAAAAATCTGCTTTCTCTGGGCTTACTAATGGGAATGTAGTATCCTGCAATGAATGAAACACCTTGGAATGTGTTTGCTTTTCATAAGGTCTAGGTTTAACCAACCTCCTAAAGCTACCATAAATGCGTGTGCAGAACACTACAAAAGACCATTTCTGAATGTTAGAACTTGCCCTACGTACCAAAGCAGTTATGTATATCACAATGGTAACGAGAATGATGTATCATGCAGCTCTCCATACGGTTGCTGTGCGGATCAAAGGGCTTTGCAGGTTACGGCAAGATACGCGTTAAAATGAGCTTTTTATACAGGCCTATGTTGAAGCAGATGATTTGAGCTTTTATCATGAGTCAAAAACATATTTCAGCTGCTTTTCAACTACATTTCAAAGCTAAGGAAGAGCAAAAAGAAGTATCATATCAGTAAATTAGGTGCCTAAATTGTCTGTTGTATTACTGAAAAAACACCATGAATAATAATAAGGAGGCCAAAAGGCTGTGTAAACCTCAATGGAAAGAATGCCTTTGATGTGAAACATTTCTCTTTTTCAGCATTCAGACTTCTCTCTCTTTCACTTCAAAAGGCTTATGATCCAAATTGAATAGCAGCATTTAATAGCCTGCATGGATACTAACCAATCTAACTTCACTTACAGTGTTTTCAAAGTAAGCTGCAAGAAAATCCAGAACTGATTTTAAGCTCCCTGTGTGCCCCTTCTTTACAGCATGATCTAGTATAAGCTCAGGCAGAACACATAAAATACAGAATGCTTGATAACGCATATAGATTAAAGTACATTTTTAACCGGTTATTTTCCACTTCCTTGTCAGTGCTGTTATCTTTACACCAGCACCCTTGAAACATCAGAAGAGGGAGCTCTACTGTCTCAGACCATAGCCCACGTCAGCTGAAAAGTGCAAAAGCACTAGTTTGCAACTATACAGCCTTCGCTCATGTCCAGGATGGTGCTACAGACAAAAATAAAGAGGGACTTGTGCAAGGGCTAAAACTTGAAGACACAGAAGCAAGCAATCTCAGAACTTGCATCTGGCTATGCATCCCTAAACCATTTAGTCACTAGTTATGATGCACCTTAAACAGGATTCTCCACTTTCTTTTCTGTTAATTGATTTTATCCCACACTGATGTTATAGACATCATAGCTGGAGGCTACGGTCATTAATGAAACAAATTGTATCTTTGTCGAGAAATACAAATCCTAGTGCTAAACATTTTCATTGCATATAAGTGAAGGATTCAAAACATGACTGTCATGCCATACATATTTTTCATCTTAAGTACTTCTTTAAGGCTTACACTATAATTAAATTGAGAATCATTTTAAGCTTCTATTCCTGAAAAAGCAGTTTGAAAAATTCACTGATCCACACATTAAGGATATCTTGTTTTGCACCGCAATGCAATTAAACATCTTGTATGGGCAAAACAGGAATACCAGTGATAATTCTAAGTGCCAAATTACATTGAAAAAGCCCTGAATTTTCATTTTGGATTTTTCCCAGCAGCTTTTTCTTAAGGAAATAAAGGGGAGCATTTAGAAACATGCACAATGCAGAGTCTGCTTGAAATTCTGCAGGGAAATGAGAGTATGATATCCCACTAAACTGGCACTGGCTCAAATTGTGTTTCTGCACGACTAATGAAATGAGAAATGTTGTTTCAAGCTTCGTGCCATGTCAGACAATATAAAACTAAAAATGCCCTTGAGTTAATCAGAACAGTCTATTCAGCATAATTTACCCATTCCAAAAGGCTATGGAACAAGCTGGAAATAGTGGTGTGCTGGTAGGCTTGTTATGGATAATATCACAGATTTAATTGCTAAATTAGTAGGTAACTACATAAAATCTCCATAGCCTATAAGAAAAAAAAAGTTGATTTAGCCAAAATCATATGCTTTTACTATTTTTTAAAATACAATTTATGAAGTGTTTCTTCAAGGTTTAGTAGGAATTTAGATGAAGGAAGCCATTAACATTACCTTCTTGTCATACTAGAACAGAATTTACAAAGAATACACTGCAGGAGACAGATGGGAGGGGGAGATAAATCTTGGATGGAAGAATGTTGATACATTTGCTGCTTTCGGCATGCCATACCTTATACTATTGTTTTTATATCAAAACATAAATCCTATGTGAATAAAAAATTCCTTTTGTTTAACTGTAGAAGGTACCATATCTTGGTATGAGGGGATCCTTAACTTCAGCTACAGTTCAACATAAAGATCTCTTCTGTTAATTGCTGGCTTTTTTCTCCTTGAATATTTCAGGTCTCAGGCGTCATGAATTCAATTGCACAGGTGTATTGAATTGATGTTGGCCATGTCCATCAAGTTTGCTGTAGTGACACTTACCAGGCATTCTCCTGTGATATCATCACACGATTCTGCATGACCAAAGCATGTACATGGTGCACAGACTCCACCAAAAATTGTGCCATTCACCCGCCTGTGTTGAGGCCAGCAAGACTGGAAGATAAATTAGATAAAAAGTTAAACTCTTTTGAACAGAGAAAGGAATGGTTATTTTAAAATATTGTTGCATTTGCTACTTGTACTCACAAAAACATACTTGTCAAATGAATAAAAATACCAACATTTCTCTAGAAAGTTGTTTTTCCTGGTGCTATGGCTTTGCACTGACCTTAGCCTTATTGGCAGGTGTGAGATTAGAGGAAGTCTTAACTTGATCATTCTTCTGAAATGGTAAAATAAAGCAGAGAAATGAAGAATTGGAATATGACAGCATCAAAGCAAAAGGTACAGATTGAAAAATAGCCAGAAGGCAAAATACTGAAGGAGAGAGGAGGGAAGAAAACCGCAAAACAACAAAAAACTTTTCTGAGAAATTCAGCTGCAAAGAGCAATTAAAATACCATTTAGTCTTTCTTGTTTGGAGTCTAGCAAAAGGCTACACTGAAATAAAGCACAGGCTGAAAAGAAAACCACCCTTTTATTTACAAACTGTGCTTCTTAAATATAAAGTATAGTCATTTCCCTTTAAGAAAGTGCTCTTTTTTTTTTTTTATTTTTTTAAATGGTAAATTCAGATCAATATTACATGCATGGCCAGTTTTTTCTTAGGAAAGGTGACATCGTACAACTGTGATTCATCAGCAAAAATTCAGCTATTCCATTTCTTCATAATAAGATGTCAAGCAGCAGTCTTCCTTACTATATATCTCACAAATGGCTTTATAGTTTTTGCAGACTATCTTTCCTCAATAAGACTGCTCATGTGATCCAAGGATTTTGCATAATATAAAAAAGTGCATGACAGAGTGTTGACCTTCAAAAGCACCTGGCTAATACAAAGAGAAAGTTTTGTAGTGATAGAATACTAAAAGTATAATTTAATAAAGAAAATCCCTTCCCCTTCACATACATGTTCCAAAATGGTAAGAAGATTTTCCTTTATAAAAATAAAGATGATGTTCTTTTTTGTCTTACTCCTGCAAAATGTGAAAGCAATTTGAAGATGAATTTAAATTATTCTTTTAAAAAAAAACATTCCAGAACCTGAGACATTATCCTTATTTTTCCTTCTTTTCATTCTTAGTAACATATTCCTAACAAAACCATAAATACTAAAAATTAAAATTCAGAGTTATAAAATGCATAAAAGAAAAACATAAGTTAAAAGTTAAAAGTAATTGCCCTAATTTTTTCTTGCTTGTCCGTGTTGTACAAAGCACAACCATCTACTCAAAACACCAAAATATTTCCCCATTTTTTTCTATCTATCTAGCACAACCGTTCAATGCATATCATGTGCTGTACCTGTGCTACAAAAGACTCATGAGAAATTAATTCAGTGAATAAAGGCATGGGAACTAAAACTTTTTACTCTATCATTGTTATTATAAGATAGGCCAGCTTTGTCAAATGGCATTTCTGAGTTGTCTTAAATGCTCAGAAATTCAGTAAGGTGACACAGGAAAAGTGTGCTCATGCAGAAGTCTATCATATCTTCTTGGCCTTCAATCTTGGGAGGAAAGCCAACGTACAGGTAGGGACTACAATATGGTTTAGTTCAATAGGTCTGTGGTTAGCACTCACCCAGGGCAGGAATCAGAGTGTCCATGGCCACTAGTGTGCATAGAGACTTTAAATTTGCAGCTTTCTATTGTGGAATATGACCTTAAGTATATATCAGATTTCAGGGACTGTTTTGAATTGGAGAGAAGGTTTAGCATTGAAAGACACGTTGTACAGAGAATCTCAGCAGCAGCAAGGCAGGAATTCTACCCAAGTCCTTCAGCTTCTACAACAAAAGTAGATACTGAAACATCTGCAAACTGCCTTTCCAGCTGCTTTCTGGGAAATCACACCTAAATCTGAATTAAGAGTAAAAATAGACAAGTAAAAAAAAAAGAAAAAAAAGTGTGAAGCATAATGACACTTTATGCAGATTTCTTCTTCAAATAATTGTACAGACAGACAATGGTCAGACTCCAAAATTATTTCTCAGCCAAGGCAGGCTATATTCTTCTCCAGGTTTTGTGTTTTTTTCTGTCTGTACCATTTTGGAAGTGATAAGAATATCCATTAATTCCTTTAGGCCTTCTTTCTACATTAGTTTATCTAGCCCCAGCAACAAGCAACCACATTTGGCATGAAACTAGACTCTAAGCCCTAAATATCACATATAACCATGGAAGATTTTAATGAAAAAGAGAGTTGACAAGCAAATGCCTAGAGTGCCTGTGTAAATGGCATACAGTTTGTAGTTTTGTGAAGCAGAGCATCTTGGTGTTTGAAACTATTTCCTTAAAGGCAAAGCTTTTGAAGAATTTTTTTTTGGCTTCTATTTACCCCAAGCTATGCCCACATGAGCTAGTTAATCATATGTATACTTGTATGAACATATTCTGTGTGAACTAATGAATTTGTTAGGAAAGTGGGTATTTTCTGAGCATGTGTGTATGTTATTATCTGTAACAGGAGCAAACTGAAATAAAACACTCCTCACATGAACACACACACAATCCTCAAAGACTCCAAGGCAAACGGCAAAGGCCTGGGAAAACAAAAGAGGAAACTCAGCCACATGAACCCAGATAATTTGATCCAGCTTTGTTGTGCACAGGTCAGATAACTGCCATTTTCCTTCTAATTGTGATAGCTTCATGCATTTGTGATATCAATTGGCTGAAGAGTACAAATACTGATTTTTATTTTTTTTTTTATTAAGAGAAATGTCTTTTCATCACTTAGCAGTCACCATAGAGGTGTAAAACTTCGGATTTCAAATATCATCAAATATAATGAACGACCACCTAGAAATAACAGCAACTAGAGAATCTATATCAAATTCCTAACAGGAATGGACAGCTCCCTTACTATTTTCTGCCAACACAGGACCCCTGGTTGCTTACAGCTGTCACAGTGTTAGCACAATTGATCTAGACTGCGTCGTGATACTCACCTCACACGAGGTACCATCGTAGCCCGGGGGACAGTCACATAACTCCACTGCAGACGCCACCTTTCTCCCAGTTGAAGCATGGTCAGCGGCTTCAATGCTAACGCTTCTTAGTCTGGATGTAACAGAAATGAAACAGTTAAAATAGCAAATTAGAGGAAATGTATGTGCAGCTGGATGCAACAGTATACAGTGACATTCAGTGCCTTGTTTATATTTTCCTGTTTATAAATCACGAGGTTTTCATATTCGTCTATTGCTTCCTAAACTACATGTCTGTAGGCTTGTTACTATTTTTGTCCGTCATATGAGGCAGATTATGGTCAGACACACATTGATAAAAATAGATTAAAAAAGTCTCACAGCACTATATCAGTAGATAGAAGGCTATTCCTGGCCTGCAAGTCACATGTGCCAACTTGCATTGCAGCTGTATATATAGCAAATTTGACACTAAGCAGAGTCTTCAAAATTTATAAACCACTACTCCAGCTTTCTAAAATATTACATTACTAAGTTTCGGTTATAGGGTATTTTTCTTCTGGAGATTTAACCTCTGAAAAAGATTTCAGCTCTGTCCAGGAGGATCTAAGTATTATGTGTATGAAAGAAAAAAGTATGTACATGAAAAAAAAAGGAAATCTTCTACCATGCACCTTGGTTTCCCCAATGACGGAGAAGAGGGAGCTGGAGAATTTTCCATTCCATGCCCTTTAAAAATAAATGATAGACATTGACTAAACAGCCATTGTTTAGCCAAACACTGAACATGATTTTTATTTAAAAAACCATGGAAGTATGATGAGAAAGACAACAAAAGTCTTTTGATAATCTGACAAGTAATATACAAAACAGATGTAGTTTCCCTCAACAGTATCCATTTGGGGAAAGAAATTGGGATTTGGGGATGTAATTCTCATGAGAATTCAGAAGGAACATTAAGGCATTATAGAGGCTCAATGACTTCTATTTTCACCCAGCAATCTTAACAGAGTGTTTGATTCCTAGAGCTACCTGAAAAGCTTCTTTTGAAGTCTTCTTCAGTAGAAAATGCCCTGCATTTTGTTAAAGAAATATGCATTTTGTTAAAGAAATAATCCATTTTCTTTGGAAAATACAAAACAACCTTTTTTTCCTTCCATGCTAAGGCATTTATACTTTGGCTGCCAAAAAATCCTGAAAATTATTTGGATGACCTTGGATAAGAAAACATCCAAGAAAAATATTTTGTTGTTACTGCAGTGGCTGGAGGAAAGGTTAAGACAGGATATTTCTCCCACTCAATTTTATGACTACTGTCAATAAGACAGAAAATACAGCTAATAATAGGAAAAAAATGAAGATTTCTGAAATTAGGATGGGAGCTTCAGAAAAATAGAAATTTTACCATCACTAGGGATATAACTGGACTTTGGAGGGACTACCATTGTGGATTATGCAATTAGAAACTTGAATCTAATTTGATGATACTGGAACCTCTGTAAAAGGTTCTTGGAACTATTTTAAGAGAAGGATGCATGTTCCTATCCAGATTTTCAGTAAGAACTCTCTCACTTTTCAGTATTTCCCTTTTGCTCCATTGCTGCATGCTTATTTTGCAATCATCCTTTTGAGTTTTCCTTACAATAGAATAACCAATCTCTAGGATATTAGATATCAAATGGTGATGGGTTTAACAGCAAAAAAATATAACAATTTAAGGAGAAAAATCTGTAAATGAAGAAACAAATTACTAGTAAAAGGCCAAGTCTAATTTATCCTTTGAACAACAGCTCGTTTCCTCTCAGCACAGATCTTGGAACAAAGAGAGGCACTTACTTACACACAGAAACAATACACTCAGTATTATCCCACATTTGTATTCACTGAATTGTTCCAATTTTCATTATGTTCTGCTATTTGCTAAATGGGATTTTAATGTGTTTAACAGTTTTTAGCATTAACAGTTACCCAGTGAAGAAAGCTGCAGTGATTTTTTTTTTCTCCCATTTTGATGTTGCAATTCTGATTCCTCAATGCCATTCTGTATTCATTAAAATACATAATGCTGGCAGTAATGGGGCACTGGATCCTGGAGATGCACGAACAATTTGAGATTCGACATAGAGACCAAATATTTAAGCTGACTGTTACTGTCAGCAGGCAATTGTTGACTTCTAAAACCAAACAAGATTAAAAGAGAAGGGGATGTTTCAGGCAGTATCGGCATAGTTTACTGTCTTCTATGCCAGGCGTCTGAATCACATCAGCTACATAAGGCGCATGAAGTACTGACCCAATCATTGCTCATTTGTCTTGAAGCCAGTTCTGCATATGGAAGAAAATCCTCGGCCTTTCCTTCCCTCTTTCTCCTTGTGTCTAGTGCTGATTCTATACGTGGTTGCAAGCAATCCATTATCTTTAGCACCACAATTTCTAATGCCCATCTGAGCAACTACAACATTTACCATCAGTGGCCACTCTGAATATGAAAACTGAAGAAACAGTGCTACTAAACTTTCTTTGAAGCACAAGCTAACAATTTAGATTAAACAAAATGATAAAAGAGAGCTGTCTTTTCCTGGCCTGTTGCTTCTACCACAGACGGACTTAACTGCAACAGTTTGGAAGATCTGTCAAGTTAGAGAAGGATCTTGATTTAAACTCAGAAGCTGTAATCACTTTCAAAGTGATTGCTGTATGTGTGTGTTCTCATTTTTTATCCTACTTGATCATCTAAATGAAAGCCCGTTGATTTGAGGAAGTTTCCTAATTATGCCATAGAGCAATAACAACATTCTAAGCTTAAAATGACCCCAAAAATGTTCTCAAAACCATGCTTGAGCCAAAATCACCATCACTGCATTAATATTACTTAGTAACTACTTGAAAGTGCTACTGATTAACTAATGTTTCTAGTAGGTTAAACTAAAGAAAGGTAAAAAATACAATCTTTAAGTTAAAGCTCTTGCTAACTGGAGACAACGCCATTGAATTTTTAAGTGTCTTTCTACATGACTGCAAGAAAGTTGCTTAATCTTACAATGCCTCCGTTCTGGCCTCTTCTCAAGCACAGATTATAATAGCACCTTTGGAAATCCTTACACACGAGGTACCATTATCCATTTTGAAAACTTTCAGTATTTAAATGAACAGGTTGCTTAATATAGCAATCTGTATTTAGTTTGTTGCATAACTCTGCTGATGCTTTGAGGCAGAAATTGTCATTCATGAAGTATCTAATAACCCTGTAAAATCTCTGTCTCTCTGCCAGATCCTCTTTACTCTCTCAGAGGAATATCCATCTGTCCACCACACATACCTGTTTAAAAGACAATAAAACACTCTTAGTTCACATCTACTTATCTACTACGGCTTAGCTCTACACTATTTCTTTGGCAAAAATGTCTTTCTCTGGAGCCCATCAACAGTAGTCCTTAATCATCCCAAGGTATCACAAAGAATATCCTCTTTATTAGGTCTGGACATTTTCCCTGCAGTACTAAAGGGGCAGAATACGGAGAAAAGAGTTGTTTTGCATGATCTTAGAGTTATGAGCACAGCTTTGCATCTAGTATGTTTTAGCATGAATAAAAGTCAAAGAGAATATAAAAAGTCAGAACTGAGGTATATCCTGAAAATCAGCAATATGCCTGCTGATCATAAGCTGGGCTGGATGACAGTCAATGCTGTTGTTGCTCTATCATGTGACTGGGAGCATGCACTGCTCTGAAAAGATTTAACTTCACCCAGTAAATCCCACCCTGATGGGTGAAACAACGATTCCTCCACTTAAACCAAGGATGAAAAACCCAATTCATTTAACTGTGATTGGAATTTCACATTCACTCTTCTGTCACACTGAACTGCAATGAGGAGCACCCTGACAGCACTCAATAAAATGTGCTTATTTTAGAGCAATCAGAGACTTCTGGACATGATGGTAATCACAGTAACACAGTAACCCTTGCATTCTTCTCTGTTATGAGACATCATAGGGACAGCTAGAGATATACCAGTAATATAAAACCATTTCTAGAAAAAAAGGTACTCTTCAAAATTACTTCAGTTCCTTCCCCTAACACCCTTTTAAATCATTGTCTTTAAGGGACCAATCTTCCTAACGGTAATGTCACTACATCTAGAAGATGGTGGCTACTAACCTGGAAAGCATAAATTATATGTTTGTCCCGGAGCTATTCTTGAAGAATATTTCCAAGACATGTTTTCAGAAAGTTATCTATAACACACCACTAAAATGCTCCAAAGGCTGAATATAGAATCACAGAATCATAGAATGGTTTGGGTTGGAAGGGACCTTAAATATCTTTTAGTCCCAACCCCCCTGCCATGGGCAGGGACACCCTCCACTAGACCAGGTTGCCCAAAGCCCCATCCAACCTGGCCTTGAACATTTCCAGGGAGGGGGCAGCCACAGCTTCTCTGGGCAACCTGTTCCAGTGTCTCACAACCCTCAGAGTGAAGACTTTCTTCCTAATTTCTAATCTAAATCCACCCTCCTTCAGTTTAAGGCCATTACCTTTCATCCTCTCACTACATGCCCTTGTAAAAAATCCCTCTCCAGCTTTCAAGACTATGAACAAGACTACAAAACAGTGAGGCAGCACACATGGCCAAATGGCTAAAGCAGTAATCTGGGATACAGGCAGTGATGCATAGTCTTCCAAACGTGCCACTGACAGGTCTGCCACTTCTTACTTACAAGGCATGAGCTGTAGACCTGTGCTAGTTCTACATGCGTGTGCTGACCCAAGCTCTATGTTATCGCCTAGAGGGGATCTTATCTGTGACACCCCCACTATTCCACAGCAGAGGCAAGATGGAGCCAGTACATGTCCAGCAACACACTTTCTTCACAGATTGTAACTGCACAGCCAAAGTGGTTTTTGTAGGAAAGCTCCCCTTCTCATTCTAGTGCAAATGTCAGTACACAAATGTACATAAACCACTGATAGCTGAAGTTTGCATTTTCCATAATACTTAGTAAGATCTTTGGCCCAAAGTCAATCATACATATCTCCTTTAAAACAGCATAGCATAAAAGCCCCTATTGTTCACCCCAAAATTGTTCCTGCACTCTTTAGTTTGCAAAATTCTGACTAATTTTTTATTTATTTATTTATTTTATTTGAATGAGAACAAAGTGGAGGAACAGCACTCACTGAGCTCCCACTAGTCTCAGCTGTAAACTGTGGATTAACAGCTACTCACAGTCTGCTCATAGGGCATAAGAGATAAGCTCTTGCCTGGTGGTTTGACTCTCCTCTAACACCAGGGTGGGAAGCCATGAAAGGTTTTCAAACTGGATGCAAGGACATGCAAGATTGATGACCAAATGAGCAAATTAGGAAACAGTTTGGCTCAAAGTCAAGCTGCTTATGATTCACAAACTGATTTACAGAAAGGTAATACATACTAATTAACTAACAGAAAGAGATTGAAGAAACATGAATTCTTTTTGCAGGGAAAAAATGTACACTCCCAAAGCTCAAATCAGAAAAATGCATGCTGTTGACACAACTTGCCTTTCAATTTACCTATTTTAATTACCTAAGTATTCAAATAATGGTTGGATTGCTTAAGAAATTTCACAGTAGCAAAAACTGTATGTATCCTCTCAGCAAATAATCACTAATGTCCTATCAGCTCCTTCCATTGCAAATTGGCTTATGCTGCTGAATCAAGTGATGTGTAGGTTAGAGAACATTTCAGGTTTCACGCCCTGTGAGTAGAAAGCTACTATGCAATCAATTCCATTGCACATTTAAAAAATATTATTTATGCCACCTGACTATTAATGTAGAGATAGAGTAGAATCATATAGTGTCAGGAGAGAGGCTATGTTCTAGCCCACCTGGAGTATTTGTTCATGCACTTATGAAAATTTTTAAATGCAAGATGAGCTTTACATGTTCGAGCACACTACAGCCACTGAGATAGGACAACTACATCACAGCATATAACATATCTTTCATTTTTTCAGAAGACTCAGAAGAGTTCACATGAAATCAGTGGTTTTAAGCAGTCCAGCCAGCAACCTAATACAAATCAAGGGAAAGGCTTTGGGATTAGCCAGTTCTGTGTGTGGTACTGATTAAAAACAGAAAACTCCCCTCAAGCCACTTTTCCAGCTTAGAGACTTAGGGTATTATTCTCTGGTCCATTGTTAATGATGTGGCCCTGTATGCTCATCAAATGGGGAAACCAACATATAAGCAATATATCATCTCTTACTTTAGCATGGTATTACTGCACTCCATGATTTACCATATATATGGGAATTACAGTGTTCACAAAATAAACACATTTATAGAACTGTTATTCATGCCTTAATAGTCCATGTGACTTCATTTTCTTACAAGGCTGCTTCTTTCTGTTGCCTCTCCTCCTCCTGCCTACCCAAAATGAAAAAAATACTAACAATTGTTTGAAGGTGTAAATGAATGCTATGGATTTCATGATGATAAATTAGCGTGGTTTAAATCATATCAGCCTAGTTCTCTGAAGAGAGAAAACAAGTATTTTGAGAAGCTGCCTGTGGCAAACGGACACGTTTCCCACATTCACCTGTAGATGGCATTCATCCCATTGCTGTAGGTGGCTCTTATGAGGATCCTCTTTACATTTGCAAGGACAGTCATGAACTCCCTCCTGCTGACTGGAACATCAGTGCCATGCACAGAGAAAGATTCTGGTTTCAGCACAATTTCTTCAGTGTGCTCTTCAGAAGGCTGCAGGTGGATCCCTTCTTTTGGAGTGCTGATTCTCAAGTCACGTCCCTAGATAGAGCCATGAGAGTGAGACATTTAACTATGAAAAAAGTCAGGAAAAAAGCTCTATATGTAGCCAGTTGGGGTACAGGATTTATTGAACAATATATTTCACAAGAATCATAAGTATCAGGAGTAACATTCACCCTTCATAACCCTGAAATGGGCTTGCCTGATAAAATTGAAAGTCAGTGCAAAAGAAAGTTTAGGTTATTCAGCTGAAACCTAGTGTCATGGCTTTGCATAGGCAAAAGCAAATTCACACAATGCCGAGCTGCACAAGCACAACTCTGCTGAAAGAATGTGAAAGTGTTACCAATCACTTAATTTCTTCATTCCTCCTGATGAAGAGGAAGAATGCAGTTTTGTAAGCTACTGCAATATTGCCAGAGGCTTCTTGAAATACTGAAGACTTTAGCTGTCTAAATTGTGTCCATTTTCTGATACTATAAATTAGGTGAAAGTACGTGCACCTTGCTGTTTTGTGTCCTCAATCACCAGGCTTCATGCTGAACATCTGAAGAAAGAGGGAATTTTCTTTTTTTTTCTTTTTTGGCTGAAAATACAATCACTTTACCTCTATGATGACATCAGATTGAACCATCAATTGAACTGTCTCTTCTTCCTTTGTGAAGTCATAGGAGACTGTAAATTTCAGACGTCCTCCAGCAGCTGCTACCTGGGGAGAAAAAAGACAGAAAAAATGCAATTAAATGAAAGAAACAAGGCCTTAACCATTTGGCGGTGGTTTTCTCCATCATCAGTATTTCCCAGAAATAGACTTCTAGTGTTGCAAAACCATATGCAGATACCTGGGGATTACAGCTCTATGGACCATTCCCTTCTTGCTCAACCATCTAGAAATCACACTTAGTCATTTTTCTTCTATGCCTGTGAAAGGCTGTAAATTTCTTAAACATACAGACTAACAAAGTAATCAGAAACAGATCTGAAATCTATGCAAATTTCCACTTGATACTGACATTAGGTTTTCAGCATATTTCAGTTATATGGTCCTCATTTAGGCTGATCCTCTACATCAGCAGCCATAGCAACCTTTAGAAGATTCAATAACTTCAGTTTTGTTGATGGGGCAAACTATCAAAAAAAGAAAAAAAACAGTGGTATTTTTCTTAGAATGAACTGTAACCTAAAATAAAGTAAAAATTTTCCCTCACGGAATCAAATGAATTTAGTTTAAAAGAATGTCCCTGCCCTTTCTCTCAGTTTGACAGCCTTCAATGTGAGAAGTCAATAATCAGGCTCTCGTGTCATGCCAATACACTTCTTCTATGCTCTTTTAGCCCCCCAAACCACTGCACTGCATTAGCTTTTCCATGAATGAATTGGAAAAATAGATCAGTTTTAGGATGCAAATGAAAAGGTGCAGACTTGAATGACAGAGTTAAGTACAAAACCAGTACTTTTTGTTGATTGTTTGGAAGCAGCATAAGTAAATCAGAGGTTGTATCATTTTGGTTTTTAAATGCATCTGCCTCATCCTTCAGTGCAATGCGAGCTGCCTCTCAGAGACTATTAAAATCACAGGGATCTTTCTGCCCTTCCAGTGGATATTGGTGACCACAGAGCAAACTCATGTCTTCTGCAAAGAGAACAATCTGGTTATTCTCAAGGACATAATGTGCTATCTCTTGTTCATCATACGAGAGGGTTTTGTACACAGTAACAGAAAGCAGTGAAAGTCATCAACTTCATTATTTTATGATGCATCTAATTTAAAGGGAGAAAAAATGTCCTGGTATTTAAGGCATGGAAATCAACTGATTTTGAATTATCCACAAAGGTATAAAAATCCATAAATTAGGCTGTACAGCTAATTGCTAGGTTTAAGCCACAAAATTAACTCTAATTCATAACCCAAAGCTTGGATCATAGAATCATAGAATATCTCAAGTCGGGAGGGACCCATAAGGATCATTGAGTTCAACTCCCTGCTCCTCACAGGATTACCTAAAACTACTATCATATGGCTAAGAGCATCGTCCCGATGCTCCTTGAATTCTGGCTGGCTTGATGCTGTGACCACTTTCCTGGGGAGCCCGTTCCAGTGACTGACCACCCTCTCGGTGAAGAACGTTTTCCTAATGTCCAATCATTCCATTTCCTCGTGTTCTATTGCTGGTCACCAGAGAGAGATCAGCACCTCCCCCTCCACTGCCCCTCTTGAGGAAGGTGTAGACTGCGATAAGGTTAACCCTCAGTCTTCTCTTCTCCAAGCTGAACAAACCAAGTGACGTCAGCTGCTTCTCCTAAGTCTTGCCCTCAAGACCTTTCACAATCTTGGTTGCCCTCCTCTGGATGTAGTCTAGTAGTCTGATGTCCTTCTTATATTGAGCTGCCCAAAACTGCACACCAGGCAGTGTAGACCTGCCCAAAACTGCACACCAGTGGTGTGGCGGGGCCACACCAGAGCAGTGTAGAGTGGGACAATCACCTCCCTCAACCGGCTGGCTATGCTGTGCTTGATGCACTCCGGGATATGGTTGGCCCTTTTGGCTGCCAGGGCACACTGTTGACTCATACTCAATTTGCCATCAACCCATACCCCCAGATATCTTTCTGCAGGGCTGCTCTCCAGCCTCCCGTCCCCCAGTTTGTATAAGCAGGATTATCCTGTCCCAGGTGCAGAATCCGCACTTGCTTTTGTTAAATTTCATACAGTTGGTGATTGCCCAGCTCTCTAATCTATCTAGATCTTTTTGTAAGGCCTCTCTACCCTCAAGTCCACAGCTCCTCCTAGTTTAGTATCATTGACAAACATCAGCATTAGATGTTTCTCTATGCAGTATCCAAACCCATTAGGATCAATGCAACTACATTCTGCCTTGACCATAACAACATGAGAGCACTTTTTTTTTTTTTTTTAGGCACACCTTTTACAGCGTTTTTGTTTTGCCTGTGGCCAAAGCTAAACACTGGTTTGTAACTGTAAGAGGAATGTAGAAAATTTAGATATCTGAAATGCTGCAAGAAGAACCCAGAATTTCTTTCAGTTTTAGATAAACATTTTAAAAGAGTAACTTTTACAGAATTTTATAATTTCTATTTCAAGTTTAGACTAATTACAAGGATTCAAGAAAGTGAAAATAATGGGAAAACAAAGATTGTCTGGTTTCAGGCAACCTGTAAAAAATATATACAAAGACAGGTTTTACTTTTTCCCAGCTATATCGAACATGGGGAATTGATAGATCATACAGAAAAGAAAAAAGGAAAAAAAAGAAAAGGTTCTGTTTTAAAATCAATGCAGATAGATAGAAAAGCAGTCAACAATGCAAACTTTGACCAAAAATCTGTTAGAAAGGAGTAGGCAAACAGATAGTAGTTTAGAGAGAGCAACCAAGTGGATTAGGGACTTCTAAAGTAGAATCAATGGGAAACAGTAGAGGAAAGGGGTGGGTTTGACTAGTCCAGAAAAGAGAACGCTAAGAGGGAATAGCAAAATAGCTTACCAAAACATAAAAGACTGGAAAAATGAAATGGCAATTTTTATTTTCCTGTGCCAACTGCAGGGAAGGCATGAAGAAGATTCAGTTTGAGTATACAGAAATCTTTCTGACTGTAAGGATGGTCAAAACAGTATCAAGCTACTTGAAAACGCTATTGAATTCCTTCATTAAATGTTTAACAGCAGTTCAAACATGTCAGAGATACTCTAGGTATGATGCCTAAGAGTTGGAATATGACTAAGAAGTCTCTTGAGGTCTCTGCTAGCCACAGCAGAGTTTCATGGCTGCAACTGGCAAGATTTGCATATCACAAACAGGATCACACATTGAAGTCAAGGTCCCAAAATGGCACTTAGCAGAGAGAGTACCTGATAGTTCAGAATATATATTTGCCTTGAGTGCTGTATAATACCAATGTAGATTAGAAAAAAACCCAAACTAATATAAACCAGAAAGTACTACTTCCTTCTGCCATTGTTTATAAAGGTAATTTCCTTCCTCTGTATATTTAAAGTACAAGTTCACTCACAGGCAAAAGAATTCAGAGGTCAGTCCATGAACTATTATGCCTCGTCTAGTGCAAAAAATACTTTTGACTGAATTTTGAATACAGAGGCGATACAGAAGTTGGGCACCTATGAGATCCCTTTATTTTGACATTCTCTGTATCACCTGAAGATTCAGAGTTCTGCCTCAAGGACTGTCATCCAAGGTCATATCAACACCAAAGAGAACAGAGCATAGAAGTTTGCCGTGCTGGTGACAAAGACATGTATTGTTGAGACAAGAATAGCTGACTAAAAACGTCAAGGAAGTTCCACAGAATTTCCTTTATCTCTCCCACCTGTTTTTAGATGAATACATCAAGTATTTTTTCCCAGCTCAGAAGGCAGAATCTACATGTTCAAGAAAAGTCACAGACTCCCCGAGAAAGTATGGGAGAGAGAAATCACAGCTATCTTAATTCTAATCCACTAAGTTTCTGGCAGATAGTTAATTTTTTTGGTTGTTCACGGTTAACTGTACTTCTGTTACACGTTGTTAAAGAATATAACCAGAGAGCAGACAAGACTGGTTACAACATCCTGAGAAATGCATTCTGGGTTAGCCAAAACCCTCTGAAGCAGAAGAGATGGCTCCTTTCCTGTGAACAAATGGCCATGGAAGAAAGTTGGAGGGTAGGAGGAAGCACTCAGTGCTACCTGTGTAAAGTATGCTTTGATGTTATGCCTGTCACACTAAAATCACTTTTAAATCAAGACAAGTGATAGTAAACCACCAATATTTACAGCATTGAAAACAAATAGCATCGCTACAAATATTTGCAAAGCCATAGATGAGGAAAGCTTGCAGCTCTTTACATGGAAATCAAATTCTAGAAGTCTTTCTCTTCCTCCACTTAGTCTGCTGTCAATGCTTTTCTGAGGCAAGCTGTCAGGCTATCTCCTGCTAATGTCATTTGAAAGTACCTCTGTCTTATACAGCTCTCAGAACTCACCTTATTCTTGAATCATTTGGTGATACACACTTTCCCTCTCCAATGCCTCTTGTAATGCTGCCCATAAAGTTTTAGCACTTCCTCCACTACGCTAGAGGCTGCCTGATTTCTTCTGAACATCTGCCAAATGTAACTTCAGAAGATCAGGAGCTACAACCACTAAACAGGGTGCTCTTTACAATCCCTTATCTCATTAAGCAGCAAAATGCTCTTCTGTCAGCTAGGAAGAGACTCAGTTTGTGATTAAAGCATCTAAATATAGCTACCCATTTGTGAATTAGACGACCATAACCCTCCTGAGTGGAAGTCAGATGGAATATACTGGGGCATCTTATATGTTGCTATGTGGCTACGTGTAGTCAACTGAAAGAAGTCCTTTATATAGTCAAAGGAATCCAGAAAGTGGCTGGTCTATGGTTTTCCCACTGATGGACAACTTTCAAATCACTTCACTTTGTATTTATATTTAAAAAATAACTTGGAATAAATATATTTCACAAATGAGTAACGTATTACACAGTAAGTGTATTATTGAAATAAAACACATGCACCTTGCTCATATTTTAGTAGTAAAATCTATATCAGAATGGATTTAGCTCAGAAAGGCTTTGATCTCAGGCCTAATCCAAAAGAACATGACACCTTCAAAAGAAAAAATATATTACTGCATTAGACTAGCTTTAGACAAATACTCATACAACAGACTTTAGC